GAACGAGGATGGAATCTTTCAAGTTAATGAATTGAGTGCTGACATAACTAATCATTTACAAGCTTTAATGGTATGAATAATATGATAATATTATTTGCTTTTTTATTAAAAGGAACAGGATTTCTTACTCCATAGGTGAAAAGTCTAACATTACTGTTTTATAGCTACAACCAACGAACCAGTGGAATGAAAAAACCCTGATTGAAAGCCGATTATAAGTATATCTTTCATGCTATGACTCATTATGTGCATACCATCGTTTTTCTTTGAGTATTGGCTGGAAGCAGCCCAACAGTTGTCAATACCCAAGACATGAATTTCAAATCGGTAAAAAAGCACCAAAAGTTAGATCCATTCCTTTGAACACCCTTGCTGCATATAATGAAAAGAAATTGACACTTCCTGTTGGAGCCATATTATGCTTCAGCCACCTAAAAAGTATTTCTACAGATAACAATATTGACATGTTAGAACTCTGACACCAATAAAGTCTTGCTTTCCTGCTGATGACATATATGTTCCAGATATAACAATCATTTCAGATAAAACTATTGAAGAATTAAAAAAAAAAATCTCTTTGTTGGAAGCATTTGGAGCAAGTCCACTGTCATTTCAGATAAAGCAAAAGTGAATAGAAGAAACCAACCCAGGAACCAAACAGATAGTTAAGAAGAAATTTGAAAAATGTAAAATGCAGCTTGAGAAGATATTTGCTGAAGCAATTGCACCTGATCAATCAAAGGCACTTATTTCTCAAGTGCTACACAATGAGGATGAAGATGCTTCAACACAACTGGTTCCAGAAGTCCTTGTTGTACCAATTAAGATGGTTTAAGAAAGCGATTCTTTAGGACAAGTTTTTTTGCTTTCAGTTATTAGCCATAATAAGTACACTAAATAAACATTATTGAAAATCTTTGATTGCAAAAAATATCAAATTGAAAAAGCACACAAGTTGTAAGAAGAAAGCAGAGGAATTTCCATACCAAAAAAGAAAAGGGTAAACATATGCTAAATGCCACAGGAAAAAATAGACATTTTTTAGAATTTATGTTTTGTCAAGGTTTACTGCAAGATGTAGCTTATGGTGTAAATAAAATAAGTTATAAATAAAATAAGTTGTAAATAAAATAGTTTGCCAATGGAGAGGAACAAAAAGTGGCTAATGGCATTTTAATGATGAACTGTAGCCATACAATCACATTTTATAAAGAAATTTGCCAAGAAACTAATTATCTCCTTATGTCAGATACTTTTTTATGGAGAATTTTTTTGTGGAATAAAACCTTCTCAAAGGAAAGCTTTGGCTGGTCTTGATGATGTTGTGGCAGCTGGCATGGATGGGTTTCAAACTTTGATTGCTATTTCTGAAAAGTGGAAGTATAAAAATATTACTAAGTTCCTTGAAGGTATCTGAAGAGTAATAATCCTTCAAAATGTAGTGAAAATTTTTGTCATTTCTACTTCTTTTGCCCTTTCAGATATAGATCCAGACTTGAATTAACCCATTATAGCTGCTGATGATGAACAGTGTATTGACTGTGCTAACCTCATTTTGACAATCAACTAGGTTCATGAGTTAGTTGTAGAATAGTTATTAGTAAAGATGAAGATCTTCTATATGATTTATTATGTGGCTACAGAAGATGTTGAAGCCTATATGAAGCATCAAATTTGTGACGCACAGCAAAAAATGGCCAAAATAATGGTTTTTGAGCAACTTGATGAGGAAACTGGTTTTTGGCTGAAAGATTTTTGTCAGAAAATTTTGCCAGCTAAATTCCGTGAAAGCCAAAAAGATTATTTTGGAAAGGAAGAAATGTCTCTACATGTTGATGTCTTCTTCTTCCATGAAAATGGTCAAATGAAAAAAAAAAGTCTATTTCACTGCTGTCTATAGATGTCAGCAAACCCTTGTCAATGTACTCTGTCTAGCTGATGTTTTTTGGCTAAAATTAGAAACGATTTTCCTTGTTTAAAAAACCTTTATGCTAAGTCAGATAATGCATCATCTTATCATGGCAACTTCTACTTAGAAGTCCTTTACAAAGTTTGCAAAACAAAACAATTCTTTCTTAAAAGTTATGATTACAATGAGCTGTCATGCGGAAAAAATCAATGTGACAGAGAGTCAGCAGGAGCGAAATATGTCATAAAGAGTTTTGTTGATGCTGGAAACAATTTGTTGACTGCAGAAGATATTTATGAGGCTCTTCATAATGCCAATGAAATTCAAAATTCTGATGTTGCTGTAATTACAATAGACTCCAAAGCTTCTTTTTTATCAGGAACAAATCTGATTCCCAACATAAAAAGTTATCATTCTTTTCAGTTTTCCTCTAATCACATGATAATGTGGAGATACTTGCGAATTGGTAAAGGTAAAAAATGGAGCTATACTAATGTGACATTCCATTCATCAGTTCAAATTGTTGAGCCCTATAGTTTAACTTTCAAAAGTATACTATACCATCAGTTTCACTGATGGTGTAGTATAACTTTTGCAAGTTGAACTATAGGGCTTAACAATTTGAACTGAAGAATAACACTTCTATATGCACAAAAAATCTATAACATTTCTATCAACACAAAAATGTGTTGATAGAAGTGTTAACACTCTTAAGTTTTGTACACAAATTGTTTGTGCTGAATCATTTTATGATACTGAATTATTAGCAGAACACATGCTTTCAGAAAACCACACTTCCCGATCTGTGGCAAAATTTATGGTAGACAGAGCAAGACTTTCCTACGTCAACAAAATGAACCTAAATTCGAGACTAAATTCAATTTAAACAATGATATTCAGTTGATTGCAAAAGAGTTAGCAGCTGATTTTTAAACTGGTGATTGGATTGTTGTTCCACACTTTATGCAATGGTATCCTGCAATAATTCAAAATGTTAGAAGTTATAACACTATAATATTGTATTTTTGTGTATTGAGATTTATTACAAAATTATTGGTTTATTAACCATATTAACTAATTTCAAGGAATATTTGGGAAGCAGCAATGATTAGACATTACTTTATCTTTACCTCAACCATTTGGTCAATGATGATGACATATATGTATGGAATATTCTGCTGCATCTGGAAAAAACTGCTTCAAGTGGCCAACTAAAGAAAATATTCTCCAAAATTTGTCTCTTGGCGTTGTTTGTAAGATTAAAAAACACTTAAGAAAACTACGTGCAAGTATTGGCCTTAAGAGTTAGAAGAACTTAAAGTTTAGCTAAAATTCCAAATTTTGTGGTTTTGGACCATGATTTCTAGACAACCAAAAATGTAACCATATTGAATTTTTACTTTTACTGTAGAAATCTACCCAGCTTAGCAAAAAAAGTAAAAAGAAATGTGTCTGTCATGTTCATGTTGCTAAAATTGCCTCTCAAAGTAGAATTTGCACTCCACGCACAAAATTTTCTTAAAATAAGCCAAATATTGGGACTCAATATTTCTGAAAAAATTAGAGTTTTCGAAAAAAAAATTACCAATGGCCTACTTTCATTTTCATTTACAAAATATATGAAAATGAGGACAATTTGAAGACATCACTTCCAGACTTTGTCTAGATTTCTCAGACAATGGCTCTTAAGTTCAATTAATCTTAAAAAAAAATTTTGATTTTTTTCTGGATACATTTTCATCAAAAATATTAAAAAAAAATAAATTAAACAGAGTATACTATTATGTTGACTCTAAAACTTTTTTCCATATATTTACATATGACTTTGATACTTTTTTAAATATATATACATATTTAGTACATTTGTAAATATATTGAAAAAATAGTTAAGATATCTGTCTTTCAATGAATGCAGAGTTAGGTATGATAGGAATACTACTAGTGTCATCTCACTAATCTTTTTTTTATGGGGGAGAGAGCTTAAGTTCATATTTATATTATACCAAAACGCTCCAAGATTTCAAGATACTAAATCTAAATGCAAAAAACTAACATTTTTTTCTTCAAAAATGCAATAGAGGTGATAGAGTGCTTGCTTCATAAGTAAGAGGTATGGAGTTTAAACCTAAAAGTCTCATCAAGACCACCACTATTACCACTTTCAAAATGTTTCTTAGTCGTGTTTGTTAAAGTTTTTGTTTTACAGAGGTGGAAAAAGTAAAAAAATTTTGTACTCAAATAAAGGTCACTGAAATTTCAATTAAGTATATAGCTTCACACTTTACTCAGATGTAGCTTTACAACTTGTACATGATTAATGTAGTTAGTTTATATCCATTCGTGTTTACTAAAAATCCATTCTTATTATTACTAATAATTAAAAATATCTTTTTCTCGTGTATTGTTTACTGTCATGTCAATTTATATTTCATTACTTTTTTTAATATTTTTTATCTCATGCTTTGAGGATTAACTATGGCAAAATAATGTTTTTTCCAGTTATATTACATGCTTTTAACTCTTAATCTAGTTACTACTGGCAAATATTAACATTCACTTTGCTATTATTTATAGCTGAAAGTAATGTCATCCCAGTGAACTATTAGAGATGCATCAAGGTTGAATTCTTTTTTAGTTTTATTCATTAAACTTTTTCAAGCTACATACTAGTTTGCTAAATTGTAAAAATTGAAAGGGTGAGATTATGTTGTAGCCTTATCACATTCAGCTGTGTGATTAATAGTTTTAGGTCTTTAAAGAGCAAGCACTATATTAGGATTATATATATATATATATATATATATATATATATATATATATATATATATATATATATATATATATATATATATATATATATGCACACTTTTTCAGACTTTGGTTGGCACTGTACTAATTACTATATTTTGTTTTACACAAAACACAAAGAGTTAAAATTGCCTAAGTCAAATTTAAAAAATTAATTAATTAAAATAGTTTATTCAAATATGTAAAAAATAAGTAATAATTTATTTAAATAAGAATTATTTTATTATTTTTTTTTAATTCTGTTTTTTAATTAATTGTTAAAAACTTGTTTTTATTAATTTAGGTCAATTTCAATTATTTTCTTCTGTTTCTGCTGGATCTACTGTGTACTCTTTTTCTACAAAAATAATATTGATACAGATTGGTTATCCATTATTTGGTCAATTATTTGGTTTTCCTGCAACAAATTTATATACATATAAAGTTAACCTTCCTTTAAATCAAAATGTTACAAATTTAGTTTTTTCATTAGATAATTTCAATTGTTTCAATTTCAATAGTTTAACAGTACGTGTCTATTTGTTAGTGTCTCAAGACAATTTATTTAACAATGTTTTTATTGATCTAAAAAATATGTTGTATGATTATTCAAAAATATATCTTTCAAACGAAAAATTTGCAAATTTTAATTTGACTTCTGGATACAATCAAATTGATTTGTTGAATCTCTATTATTTATCTTCAAAAAAGTATTCTGGTTTCGTGAACTATATTGGTATTATTGTAATGCCTGAAAATAAATTACAAAATGATTCTTATTGTAAAAGCTACGAAGATTCTATTACATTAAATATAGGTTATGGAATAGGTTTGTTTTTCTAAATATTGTTGTTAAAATTATAGAATTATTTTTCTGATTTAGAATTAGTTTATTAAAAATTATAAAAAATGTAACTTTGATAATTTAATATATATTAGAAAATAAAATAGATAATATTATGATTTTTTTTTAAAAAAAACATCTTCACCTCAAACAAGGCTGCAAGCAACCACTATTAGAGTTGGAAGTTACTGGAAGAGAAAAGATAAAGTTTGTGAAGCAATGTAACCATTAACAGACGACTTAAAAGATTACAAGTTATACGAATCATGAAAACAAGATGACAGGAGTGAGTTCCAAAGAACTGATGTTCAAGGAAAAAACTAGATAAGAATTTTTGGGGCACTTAATGAATGAGACTTAATTGAATAACAAATGAGATTGAATTTTAATAGATGGCACAAGAGACCCATTTAGAGCAGAAACCATTATATTATTTATAGAAAAGAGAAAGAGAAGCAATATTACAACATTATGACAATGGTTGAAGGTTGGTTGCAAGAGCAGGTCCAACTATATTTATAATGTGTTTTTATGCCTTTTCTAAATAAGAAAAGACATCATTCGAAGATACGCTCTAGATATAGCAACAGTATATACAAGGAAAGATTTGAGATTTATAAAGATAAAAAATAGATTCTGGAACAAGAAAGTGGGGAGCACAATGAAGAGAAGCAACCAAAAAGCTAATTTTTTAAAATTACCTTTCTGGTTGAAAAGAGTTATTTGGAGACGAAAGGTAGATAATTTATTGAGTACATTACTGTTAATAAGTATCGGAAGATCTAAATTGTTGCGATAACGATTAGCTGAAAAAATTTTAAGTTTTATCTGAGTTAAAGTTCACCAGCTACTGAGAGCCCCATTTTGTAGTAGGAGTAGATCCTTTTCAAGCTTAAATACCTCCTCCAAGCATCAGAGAGTGGTGGTTTTTTATCAAGACAAGAATAAATGGTAGTGTCATCAGCAAACAATGCCACCTTAGATGTGAGAATTTCTGGGAGATCGTTAATGTAAAAAAAGAGAGGGCTAAAGATAGAACTTTGAGGAACTCCTGAAGTTACCGGAATTGAAGAAGAGTGCAGTCCATCAATGTTAACTTTTATACTACGATTGGTAAAGAAGGATTCAATAATCTTAAAGATGTTACCTGATGCACCATAAGAAGAGAGCTTATGGAGAAGACCAGCATGCCAAATGTTATCAAAGACTTTATAAATGTTACACTTTAGGGAGAGATAGCCTTAAACTCTCCTCATCTGTTTAATGCATGATAAAATCTATTGGTTATAACCATTAACAAATCAGCAGTAAAACGAAAAGATTGAAACCATATTAATGGTCAAAAAGTTATTTATTAGATTCAAAGTGAGAGATAATGTGTTTGTTAATTAAAGACTCAAAAACCTTGCTCATGATAGAAAGAACACTAATTGGATGTTGTTTAGATGGTTAAATCAGGTCGCTCATAAGTAGTTAGACTTTTCAGTGGCTTTTTAGCAGCTGGAAAACTAGACTCTGATAGGCACTTGTTAAATAATTTTGTAATTATAGATGACAATTCTGGAGATGACACTTCTGCAAGATTATAGCAAATGTGTTTTCTAGACCACACGCTGTAGAAGAGTTTACCTAAGACTTTATTACTTACTTTACTTTATTAGTTTTGTTTTAAGTTATTCAAATATCAAGCAATGGATCAATATGTTTGTTGGCTATATCAGGTAGAATGTGATTAGTGGAATCAAGTAATGAGATTGATGAAAATATCTTAACAAACAATTCAGCTTTGTCTTTAAGTGAGGTAACAAAACTTGAAACGTGCAAGAGAGAAGGAAACGTGCAAGAGAGGAGGAATAACAGATTTTCCTGTATTATAAACACTGTCAAAGATTCTCCAGAAGTCTTAGGAGCCTAACTTTTGAGATGAATAAGAGATTTTGTGACCTGGGAATAGTGGGCTTTAGCATTAGACAAAACCTTTTTACAATTGTTTCTAGCAATAGTAAACAAAAGACTTGGATTGGTCGAGAGGGAATAAAAGACTCCATGTCTTTCTAAATCCAAGAAGTTACCTAACAGGCACATTTAACAGCAGAAAGACAAAAGATTTTTACCCAAGGGCCAAAACAAAGAAAATCATGGAAAGAGTTTCTTTTCATGATTTTCTTAGCTAGCAACAATAATATTGGCTGAAGGATAAAGAGAAACGGCTTAGTCAATTTGATCAGAAATAGCATTGAAAAGTGTGCTGTCTTGAGATGAAGGAGAGCAATATAGAATAAGGAGAAAGGTGATATAGTGAAGTGGTGCTAAATGAAAGCTCAAAAAAAGAATAGACTATGGATTCAAACCTATTTTCCCTACAAATAAGTGAATTTTTACAAATGTAAATGCCCAGACCAAGCCTGTGTTTATTGGAGTTTTTACAAATTAAAAGACAATAACCATTATCACTAGGATCACAAGATGAGACAGTTTAACTCAAATTAGTATCACAACAAGCAAGTAAGTCTGGTGAACTTTGCAAGAGACTCAACAAACAGAATATAACTTTGAAAACCACAAATATTGGTAAATAATACAATAAAAGTGATTACAATAAAAGAACTTGATGATGATGCCAAGTTCTTTTTGTGTTTTATAGTTGATACTTAAGTAATTTTTTGAATTTGTCAAAGAACTTAACTTGAAGCACAAATAGTACTCATTTCACTATCAAATAATCCAAGCAATTGCCTCATTACTATTAATAAACTCTAAGTCATAATGAAGGGCTCTAAATGTGGCCTTTACTACCAGCCAGCCTTTGAACTGACTGAACTTTAGAGCTGTACTTTTATTAGGAGATAATAGAATGAGTTTCCTAGTCATTAAAATAGAGATAAGTAAAACCTATACAATTAGTCAAGAAGATCCAGCATTCAACATCCTAAACTGGAAGCAATGTTTTATAAATTAATCTACGCCTGTTTAATAGATAAAAAAGCTGGTCAACAGATAAAATCTGTTTACCCCTTAAATCTTAAAATACGGATGTGAAAATATTGCATTAGTACTAAATTTCAAGTTGCAGTGCAAGGATCAATTTATTAGTAAGTTCTTTGAAAATGTAGAATTTTTTGCTTTTTTATATTAAAGTTTCTTAAACAACAATTAAGTTTAAAAAAGTTTGTCTATTTCTAAACATCAGAAAGTAACATTAGCACTCTGAAAGGTATTGTAATTAATTTTAAATGTAATTGATGAATTTAACACAAACTTCTGTGATTTTAAAAAGTTTAAAAAAATTTTTTTCTCTAAAATGAAGCGTGTTAAAAAAGAGCAGAGAATATAAGTGTATTATTAACACCTTAATAATACACTTATAATTTTTTTTCCCAGTATAAATGCAGATGTTAAAAGTTTATGCAAAAAGAAAAAAAAAAAAAAAAAAACATGTTTCACATTAAGTAAATATTTGTATAAACTTAAATTAAAGCTACAAGTTTGAGCTTTTTAAAATTTGTAATACTGCTTAAATTCAGTCATTTTACTGCAAAAATTCAGTCATTTTCCGTCTGTAAAAATTTCCTATAAATGACAACAAGTTTGAACATGTTGTGATATGTAGTTTGATTGTATTGGTTATTCTTGTTGAGAATTTTCTCATGACATAATTCAAGTTATTTCTATTATAGTGGTTTAAGGGTAAAGATGGAAGAAAGAGAATAATGTTGTTTGAGTCTAAGAATAATGGACTGAGCGTCAAACAAAATCTTTATGCATTAGCTTCTTGCAATAAAAAAAAGTTTGTTTTCTAGAGAGTTGTTCTTTAGGGAAAGATAAAAAAAAATAATTTCAGTGGTTTAAAGAAAAGAAAAAAAATAATTTAATAAAAAAGAAATGATTATGACAAGAAATAGAAACTGCACAAAAAGATCACCAGATAAAAAAAGATAGAAGAAGATAATATATTTAATAGTGAGTGAGTGAGGCTTGATTTAAATTCAACAAGAAATATATATATATATATATATATATATATATATATATATATATATATATATATATATATATATATATATATATATATATAATTATATATATATATATATATATATATATATATATATATATAATTATATATATATGAATTTAGGGCCCTGCAAAGCTTCAATATTTCAAATCGAATCAAATCAAAAATATGAATCAAGATACGATTCGAAAATTTTTAAAAATTCAAATCCCTACTTATTTTGTTTTTGTTGTAACACTATCAAAATAATGTTACTTTTCCTTAAATACATTTTTAATCAGTCATTGAAAGATTAACCAGGGCAAGAAGTATCAATAAAGAGATTATACAATTGTTTTTTTATTTTATTTTGAAATTTATATTATTAAATAAAAAATGCTTAAATTTAGACTTCAAAATGTTGATTCGAAACGTTATTCCAATTGCAAATCAAGATTGCCTTTGATTCCAGATTCGATTCGAAACAAAAACTGTTGATTCGCAGGGCCCTAATATATATATATATATATATATATATATATATATATATATATATATATATATATATATATATATATATATATATATATATATATATATATATATATATATATATATATATATATATATATATATTTATATATATATATATAAAAAGAATAAAACTTTTTTTACCTGCATATATATTTTATAAAGAAGGCACAATTTTTGTTATAAAAACAAAAGACAATAGCTTTGTTACCTATCATGAAGAAAATCACAAAAATAGTCCTTGTCACCTTTAAGGTAGTACTAAATAATGAGATTATATGGTATTTCTGATAAAAAAGAAACACAAAATAAAAATTTTAGTAAGTTTACACTATGATCTAATCTACCTAATAGAGAACAAGGAGAAACTGAGCACAAGTTAGGGTCAGAGACAAAACACAAGTTAAGGAGTAAAGCTAAGTGTATAGGGTTAACTAGAAAAAAAGTCACAAAAAGTTATCTGAGTATGAGAAAAGTAAATAAGGTCAATGAATAATGAAATTGGTCAGATCAGAGGCATTATTGAAAATTTTTTTGTCTAAAATTATTTTGCCTGGTTACAGTTTTGGAAAGTAGAAGGCTTTCTAGGCAAAGAATTAAAGGGGTAAACAGATTCTATCTGTTGGCCAGCTTTGCATCCATTCTTCATCTATTAGGCTGGTGCATATATTTTTATAATATGTTGTTTCCAGTTCAGAATGTTGAATGCTGGATTTTTTTGACTCAATGCATGGGTTTTGCTTGTGACTCAAAGGGTCTCCAAATGTGGCTTCAACAATGCACACCAAAAATATGAACAGGGACACCATCCATGTGCAACATGACACGGTTAATACTTTTTCAGCTGTTGTTATCATAATGTTATTATGACTATACAACTCATTCTATAATCTTTTAATGGGTACAGCTATGAAATTCAGTTTTATGGTTCTGAGGGTGGTAGTCAGATTTTCCAAACTCTGTGGTAGCTCTCAGAAAGACTGATTTTATCAACAGCTGAAAAATATCAAAGTATTACCAGAGTCATGTTGCGCATGGATGGTGTCCCTGTTCGTACTTTTGGTGTGCATTGTTAAGGCCACATTTGGAGCCCTTTTTTATGGCTTAAGGTTTATTATTAGTAATGAGACAATTAAGTAGTCTACTGAGTACTATCTGTGCTTTGAGTCGAGTTCTTTAACAAATTTAAAAATGAATAAGGTACCAAAAACTATAAAACAGAAAAAACCATCGCCATCACCAAGTTCTCTAAATCTATCATTCACTAATATTCTTTGATCTTTGAAGTAACTTTTCTTCTGTTAAGTCTTATCTCTTGCAAAGTTTACCAGACCTACTTGCTCTTTGTGAGACTAGTTCGAGTTCAACTGTCTCATCTTGTGATCATAGTGTTGATGGTTATTTTCCTTTAATTTGTAAAGACTCCAAGAGTTACATGCTCAGCCTTGTCATTTACATTAGTAAAAATTCACCCATTTGTCGAGAAATTAGGTTTGAATCTATCGACTATTCTTTTATGTGCTTTTGTTCAGCACCATTTCACTCTATTGTCTCTTTGTTGTATATTGCTCTCCTTCATCTCAAGACTGCACTCTTTGATGTTATTTCTGATCATATTGACCTAGCCCTTTCTCTTTATCCATCAGCTAATATTGTTGTTGTCGGTGACTTTAATGCTCATCACACTGAATGGCTTGGCTCTAGTGTCCATGACTTTGCATGCGTTAAAGCCCACAACTTTTGTCTTTCTCAATCTCTTCACTCAAATAGTCAAATTTCCAACTCACTTTCCAGACAACTTGAATCATTTACCTTCTCTACTTGACTCAAGTCTTGTTTTTGATCTTATTCAGTGCTCAGTTTCTCCACATTTACCCTTAGGTGCTTCTGATCACGGTATGATCTTTCTAAAATTATTATCTAGTTCTTCTGAATTCCCCTATCATTCTACTTCTTACAATTACCTTAAGTTAGTTGTTACAACTACCTTAAGTGTTCTCTAGAGCTATTTTCTATCCTTTTAAAACTATTTAACAAGTGCTTATAAGAGTCTTATTTGACAGCCTGGTGTAAAGCGACATCTGTTATCCCTATTTTCAAAAATACTGGAGTGTGATCTGAATTTTCTTACTACCGTCTCAATAGTCTTCTTCCTATTAGGGATATCAAAATTCTATATTTTTTGTCTCACCAATTATTCTTAATTAATTTTTCTATAAAATTTCAATGAACAATTTAGTTTTGGCAATTTTTTTGTGGTTAACCTTTTACTTTAATTTTTAACATTTTACAAATATAAAGAAACTTGAAAACTAGAAATTTTTGCAGATTTAACTTAACAATTGATTGTTCTGTCCAATAACCACTTTTATTGAAATTAAAGTAAAAATATTTACAATGAAAAAAAAGTATTAAGTAATTCAAAATCAGCATAAAAAATTAATTAAAAAAAAGTAGTTCAACTACACAAAATCCAAAAAAAGTCAATTTTGGACCCCCTTATTCCTATTATAAGCAAGGTTTTTGAATCTTTAATTAATAACTTAATCTCTCATCTTGAATCTAATAACTTACTTTCTGATCATTAATATGGATTTTGATTTTTATGTTCTACAACTGATTTGCTAACAGTAATAACCGATAGGTTTTGTTGTGTATTAGATAGAGGTAGAGAGGTTAAAGTTATTGCTTTTGACATTTCTAAAGCTTAAATTTCATAAGTTTTTTTCTTACGGTGTATCTGGTAATATCTTTAAGATTATTGAATCCTTCCTTTTACTAATCGTAGTGTAAAAGTTATCCTCAATGGACAACACTCTTTTTCATATTCTGTAACTTTAGGGGTTCCTCAAGGGTTTATCCTTAGCCCTATACTCTTTTTAATTTATATTAATGATCTTCCAGATATTCTCACATCTAAATTGGCGTTGTTTACTGATGACAGTACCATTTATTCTTGTCTTGATAAAAAGCCGTCACTCACTGATTGCTTGGAGGGGGCATTTGAGCTTGAAAAAGGTTTCACTTCTGCTACAGCATAGGGCTCACAGTGGCTAGTAAACTTTAATTCAGATAAAACCCAATTTTTTTCAGCCAATCGTTATCGCAATAATTTAGATCTTTCTATATTTATGAACATTAATGTATTCAATGAGTCATTACCCCTTCATCTTTTAGGATTAACTCTAGGATTAACTTCCTATTTTTCTTGGAAATCCATTGCAAGTTAAGGTCAAAGGTCGCACTGCTAAGGTCGCAACTTTTTATTGTACTTGACACTTTTTTACTCCAGATTCTATTGTTTTTCTCTATAAACCTTAAATACTATATCTGGGGGTTGGGGTGGGGGGTGGATTTTCCAATCATGCTCTTTTTCTTTTAGACAAGGTACAAAAACGTCTTGCAAACATAGTTGAACCTGCTTTTGCAGCCAACCTCTAATTATTATCACATTGTTGTAATGTTGCTTCTTTTTATGCTTCCTACAAATACTATAATAGGCACTGATCTAAAGAGCTAACACATCTACTAAAATTCATTCTTGTGTTACTCATCATTCAAATAAATCTCATTCTTTTTCTGTGACTGTTCTTAAGTGTTCTAAAAACTCTTTTTTGTCTAGTTTTTTTTCTCAAACATCAGTATATTGGAATATGCTTCCTTTTTCTTGCTTTTCTGATTCATATAATTTGAAATCTTTTAAGTCGTATTTCAATTGTTATCTTGCTCTATAAACTTCATCTTTTCTCTTCCAGTAACTTCCAGCTCTAATAGTGGTTGGATGCAGCCTTGTTGGAAGTAAAGATGTTGGGGAAAAAAAAAAAGTTATTCATCTTAGGTCTTAGAGATTGCTTACTTAAGCAGATTTACTATTGTCTCCAATTATCAAGTTAACAAAAGCATCAACATTAAAAAAAGTATTTTTTAAATAGATTTTTTATTTATAGATAAAATTTAGGTAAATGAATAAAAATGAGCTTACAATTTAATTATTTTATGACAATTTATGGATTTTTATTATTTGTTATCATTCCTCATTTTTAGCTTAAACAAATGAGTTAAGCATCAATGAGGAATTTTTAACTATTTTAAAAAATAAAACATTTTAAAAAACTTTTATTTTAAAAATGTTTTTTTATTTATTATTTTTTTTATAATGTTAACAATTTGTTTTTATAATTTTAGTTCAAATTCCAAAAGTAACTTTGGATTCTGCTATGATTTTTAATACTGATATAAGTTTACTATTTAACCAGAGTATACAGAATCATCCATTAACATTTGTATTTACATATAACGTTAATTTGACTTCAAATATAGATGTTTTAAGTTTGAATTTTTCAATTGATAATTCAAATAATTGTAATGTTTCTAATAACCTTACAATGAGTATCTATTTGATTGTGCCTCAGAGCATTCAAATTAACAGTGCAGATGAAGTGCAAAAATTGTATAGTTATTCAATGTTGTATCTTTCAAACAAGCCATTTGAAGATTTTGTTTTGCAACAAGGATACAATAGTATTGATTTGGTGAATCTTTATCACGATGCTATAAACAATTATTATGGAGTAGCGAACTATATTTACATTATTGTAATATTTAAAAACATTTTACAAAGTGATGTTTATTGTGAATTCAACCAAAATAATGTTGCATTGGGAATATCATTTGGAAAAGGTTTTTTAATTTAAATTTTTTAGATATTTTGGCTATAAGATAAAAATTTCTAAAACCTTCAGAATTTTTTATAAAATCTATTTTTACTATTGCTGTTTTTACTATTGCAGTTGTAATATATGTTTTAGGAGTCTTCCATAAATTACATCACAAAATTTTTGAAAACTTTAGACCCCTTCCCTTCCCCTTTCTCCTAGTAACAAATCGTCATATTTTACTGACTCCCTCCCTCCCCCCTCCCCCCTTAACCCTTAAATTATGCAACAAGTTTGTATCGAAAATCCCCTTGTCCTGAAGGTTTTTTGGAGGTTTTAAATACTCTTTTAGTTTTCTAATTAATACGTTTTAACACATTGATTTTAATTATTGTTATTTAATATTACTTAGAAAGTCATTATTTGTACGCGCGTACAAATAAAAAGCCCACAAACAAAAATACTATTGTATGCAAAAAATGTTTAATTTTTTAAATTTTTACATGGACTATATATTGGCACAGAGCTTTGGATGGTCATAGTTCCACATTTTAAGAAACTCATAACTTAACAGTACCTGCTTTCAACCTTGTTGGAGGTGAATTAGTTTAAAATATGTATATCAATATTTAACAGTTTTTAAATAGTAAATGTATGCATAAACTTATAATATATAAAGTTTTTGTAAACTTTTTCCTAGCTTTGGCTATCAACTCTAAATCTTATAATTTTGCCGGAGCTGGAGCCAGGTTTGTATAAAGTCCCATTTTTAGCCAGGGCGGGGGATGGGACCCTGGTCACTATGCATGGTAGAATCTTTTAGTCATAGCAGTCAGCCATAGAATAAGAAGATTGAAATCCATTTTGATTGTTTTACTGTAAATTTTTTGACTTGATGAAGATGGGATGTTAGAAATTTGTTGATCAAAGACTCAGAGACTTTTTTTAAAATTAAAAAAAGTCTCCGAAAGCTACAGATGCTATTTTACAGCAGGAAGGAAAATAAGATTCGGTCAAGCACTTATTAAATAGTTTAGGTAGAATTCAAGAGAATTCTGGAGAACACTTTTGTAAGACAATGACAGGGCCATTGTCTGGACCACAAGCCATAGAAGAGTTTAATTTAGATTTTAGGCAATGGAAGCTAGAGTGGTTTGAACGTCTAACATTGGGTTAACCTTTTTAACAGTTTAGTGATTAGGGTTGTCAGGAAAATGAGTCACAACATTGATTATCTGAGTTAGAGATTGAGAAATACAAAATCAAAAATATTAAAAAAAAAATTTATTAATTTATTATATCTAAAAAATCACCAATTATTTTAATTAATTAAAAAAAATTATTTTAATTAATTAAAAAAAATTATTTTAATTAATTAAAAAAAATTATTTTAATTAATTAAAAAAAATTATTTTAATTAATTAAAAAAAATTATTTTAATTAATTAAAAAAAATTATTTTAATTAATTAAAAAAAATTATTTTAATTAATTAAAAAAAATTATTTTAATTAATTAAAAAAAATTATTTTAATTAATTAAAAAAAATTATTTTAATTAATTAAAAAAAATTATTTTAATTAATTAAAAAAAATTATTTTAATTAATTAAAAAAAAAAGTGCAGTCTTGAGAAGAAGGAGAACAATAAAAAAGGTGCTAAAAAAAAAAAGGCAATCGGTTGTGCTTGAAATCGCAATTTTATTCCATCATATTTAATACTAGCAATCATATTAAATACTAATACATATACAATGTATATGTATTTGTATTTATGATGAAGTTGAGTACATGTATTATATATTCAACTTCATCATACTAAATACTAGCAATATTATTTAAAACTATTATTTAGCCATGTTATTTAGAACTGTTGAACTTTAAACTTTTCAACAAGTTAATCATTTCTTACAACTTTATTAAAATTTTATATTGATCTTTTATGGTAATTTATTTACTTAAAGCTACTTTATTCACTGTTGAACTTGTTTTGCTAGTTGAAAAATTTTCAGAGCTGGATAACTTTCTTTCACATCCTTTTTTTTATTTTATAATTCCATAAAAATATACAGTTTGTTTTTTACATGAGTTTAAGTAAACCATTTTTAAAGTATTTATATTATATTATAAGTTACAGATAATATATTATTTATTTCACATTATATAGTTATATCATATTTTAAAAATTTTAATGTTATCATTATTAGTTATTATTTATTGCTATTTTTATATTTTCAATTACATTATATTATTCTGTGTTGTTTTATTGTTTTGTGTTGTATTGTATTGTTCTATTATATTATATTGTTTTTATTTTTCTAATTTTGTACTGTTTGCTGTAGATTGTATATCCTAAGTAGAGAATTTTAACAATATACTACACTTTAATATCAATTATAATATCAACATTCATTATTGCCATAAATATCTACCATACTATCTACAATATTATTTAAAGGGTAATTCTATGTCAAATGACCCATATCATGTCACTATACATCTCAGATTTTGCAGATTTTTATACAGTTGTATAAAATAAAAATCCCTTTAAAATTTTAGCCGCTGGCTCTAAGAAGATCCTGAAATATGACCATTTTACTTTTAGTAGATATTGGTCAGACCCCTCTTGTCCCCTTAGAATTGCAACACTTGGAAGTTTTGACTTACATAACTTTAAAAATATTTAATTTTTTTACTTTAAAATTTGTAACTGGCTATTTTTAGGAGTGACGAATCCAATGAAATGATCAGAATTTAAAAAAATTATTATTAAGTATCTGTAATTATCAGTTTAAATAAATTTGGGTAATTTTTTACATATCTGTTTTTAATGCTCAAAAAACCATCGTGGCCTTAATGATATATAAAAAAAAAAGTATTACGCATTCTATATTGATTGATCTTTCAAAAAATATAAAGATTTTGATCTGCAAGTATATGGATTTCCATATATGGATAACGGGGCATGGCCCCCATTTTTTTGTAGCAGAATATTGCAATTAATTTTTCACTATCTTCCAGACAAGAAGAAAAACATTTTAAGAAAGATTATTAAATACAGAATGTTCAAAAATCCTATGGAACAAATATAAACCAAATTTTTTTTTTAAAAACAATATTTTCAAAATTATCTTTACTTTATTAAAAATGCAAAAATAATTTTTTTTTTGAAAAAAGTGGGGCATTTTTCCAGTGCTCAAGTCATCTGCCCTAGAAATAATTTTAACCCATGTTCATCAGGGCTACGTAAGTGCTGAAATTTTCAGAGCTCTAGCTTGTCTGGAAAGTAGTGAAAAGTTTTTCACAAAATTTCCACTACAAAAAAGTTGGGTCTATAACCCTGCTCCCCTCTTCCCTCCATGTCTCAGGCCCTAAAAACAACTTTAACACGCATGTTCATTGGCACTTCAAAAATGCCAAAAGTTTTAGATCTCCAGCTAGTCTGGAAGGTAGTGAAAAATCGATTGCAATATTCCGCTACAAAAAAATGGGAACCTCATGCCCCAATATTCATATATGGAAATCCATATACTTGCAGATCAAAATCTGTATATTTTTTGAAAGGTCGATGAATATAGAATAATGTGTAATATATATTTTTTTGACATTATCAAGGCCACAATTATCAAGGTTTCTTGAGAATTAAAATCAGGTATATTAAAAATTGCATAAATTAATTAAAATGATCAATCAGGGATGCAGAGTCCCAAGAGTACTCCGGCTTGATAATTTTATTTTTTCATAGTTTCTGGTGTCCAGAAGCTCTAAACATGTTGGTTGATTAATGAAAAAAAATTATAATATTTAATGATTTGAAACTTATTGTTTTTAAGCTTTGAGTCCTGGAGTCCCAGAGTCCTTGCTGTCATTATACCTAAGGACTTTGGGTTCAAAAACTGATTGTTTTTCTGACCAATAAGTCTTGATTTAAAATAGCCAGGTACAAATTTTTAAGTAAAAAGATTAAATATTTTTAAAGTTATGTAACTTGAAACCTCTAAATAAACAATGTAATTCTGAAGGGACAAGAGGAGCCTGGCCAACATCTCTTAAAAGTAAAATGGTCATATTTCAAGATTTTCTTGGAGCCAGAGGCTAAAATTTTCAAGGAATTCTTATTTTATTAAGTACTCTTAACTGTGTAAAAAACAGTAAAATCTATAGCTATAGCTGGTATTAAATCTCAGGAAGTGTGTACACAAATCAAAATACATTGTTTTTTTTAGTGGTTGTATTAATATATTTTTAATTGTGTATGAATTTTGTTGGCTACATGTAGTAATTTCAAAAAAATGTTATAGTTTTCCCATTTAACTTAAAATAAGTTTTAAAAATGACAAAAGAAGAAGGCGTTAGGAAAAATATCTGCAAAAAATATTATGAAAGTCTGAATAGAAGCAAAAAAGTTGCAAATACATCCCTGCATCATTAATGTTATTTAGCATTTTACCTAAACAAAATCTATCAAACACAAATCTAGTAATGGAGTAAAAGAGGTTTTTCAAGATATAAAACTGGTTAGAAAACTTGTTAATAGTTCTATGGGAACTTTTCTAAGGAAGCAAGCAAAAAAATAAGGATTTTTGTCATAATTTTGTTGCAATTGTTCAAAATAAATGCGTTTTTCAAGCTTTCAAATCACAGAAAGTGCCTAACTGTTCTGAAATTCAAAAAAAAAAGTGCAAGAACCTGCTAAAGAAAGTTGTATGATGATTATAATTGGTATAAAAAAAATGGTAAAATAATTGGTATAATTAAATTAAAAGTTGTGTCTAAAATAGCAAATCATCTAAAATGCCCAGAATTGAAAATTATTGCAAAGTAAGGGGTAATTGTTAAACAAAAAATGAAAAAAAAAAAAACAAGAAAAAAAAATAACTATGCAGAAACATTAAAGATTTGAAAATACCATTTAAAAAGCATTTAAAAAGTTTTGATTGTTATTCTGTGCACAAGCTTACGGGGATCAAGATAACAAATATTTTATTAGATGCCCACAGGAATAAATTATTTTCTTTGAAATATTTTA